CGATGACAACAGGTATTTGACCAAAATGGTTGATATATAATTCAATAAAATATTTATTTATTATAAAAATATTGTGTTTTTTCCATGGAAAAAAAAAAACAAAATTACTTTCCGAACAACCCAATAAAATTAAATAAATAATAGTTTTCAGAAATTGCAAACTATATTAAATTATGGTACATTACAGTTATTTATCCTAAGTTTTATGAATAGTTTCATCATAATTTGACAAACTAAGATCAATAACTTAAAAATATAGCACATTCACAACTTGGAATTCAGATATAAACTTTTATATTAACAGAAGTTGTTAGGATATACCAGTCAACCCCCCTATAACACTGTTGATTATTCCATTTTATATGAATTCCATGTTGTACGAGTCACTTAGATTTTACAAATATGTGAGCCGTTCACAGCCCGGCACACATATTTGTAAAATTTAAGTGACTCGTACAACATGGAATTTATATAAAATGAAATAATCAACAGTGTTATAGGGGGTCGACTGTAAATACAAACAGATGTATCTTAATTCTAACAGATTCTATATAGATGATAAATAAATAGTATATATTTATTTAAGTTAGGTAATTTAATTTAATAAATAAATAATTGAAGATATTAATTTACAATTGTAAACATCTTTTTGATTTATTTATTTTGATATTTACTATATGCAATTTTTCCAAGATACAGATAGCGATGGCTCACCTCATCATCATCATCACCATCATATATATAACGGTACATGTTCTGCTGGAAATAGCTTAAAACGAGCATCATTACCTAGAAGATTATTGGATTCGGTGCTATATAATATTGGTGCAATGTTGGCCTGTGTGGGAACTGGAATTGATATTCGTATAGGTAACCAGTCTCACACTCGATCAAGGTTTGGTTCTCCATGGGAAGAGGAAGAAGAAGAGCGTAAATGGTGGGGATATTGTGAGCCAGGTATGCACAGGTAGCATGATTTTGCCATTCTATTTGATCCTAGTTAAAACATTTCCCACAATAGTACAGAATTTAAAAAAATTTTAGATGTAATATGTATATAGTTATTGAAAATATATGTTTTAATTGAAATTAATTTCATTAAATTATTTGCAAGAATTGATTGACTTCAGTTATAAAATTTTTGAAAATTGGAATGGATTAATTTTAATCATGAATGTGATTTATTTATGATTGATAAATTATATGAAAAATTGGAAAATTCCAAATAATGTACATAAAAATCATTATTACTTTTTTAAAATTATAATTGAGTGAATATTACATGTTTATCATTTTATGTGTATGTTACATACATACTTCCATACTCTGCAGGTTCCCCATATTTTTCAAGTGCAGAGTATGAATTCTCCTCTCTGTCAGGATTTCCACACAACACATACCATGGACGTTCTCGACATTACAGGCCAACATTGAATCTAGAGACCGGTTCGCCATTAAGATTTACAGATTCTCCCCAGCATGCTCCTAGTATTAGTTCTGGAGGATCTTTTACACCTCTTGCTCAAAGCCCCTGTCGCAAACTCTCTAATACTAGTAGTGAAGGTGAACAAGGTTTTCAAAATTCAGGAACACCTTCAGCACTTCCAGCTTGTGACAGGTCATCATATTTGAGACAGGAAAGTTATCCAGCTCCTCCTCCAAAATCACGTTTCTCAGATTATGCACTGCCACCAGAGGTGCCTTACCGGTATTATCAAGGAAGTGGAATTGAGGCACCATACTGTATTGAAAGATTTTATCCAGACCTCACTAGGCCTGATGTATTTCATGTAGAAAGAATCTATCCTGAATATTCACCTCATCCAAATGGATATCTTGCTTACGATAATCCCAATTCTGTAATTTCAGTTTCTTCCTCAGCACAAATTGTTCAACCTCGAACTCCTCAGAGGATAGTATACACACACAGGCGCACTCCTTCAAATGTTTCTAATGCATCTAGTGCTTCTTCTAATGTAAATCCTTCATTTCATATGGATGACCATGATTCAGAAAATCAACAAACAACTCTTCCTTCTCATGCAATATCTTATCATCATACTGTAGCATCTCCAGTACCATCTCCTTCATCATCACTTACAGGAACACCTCGAAGACATAGTGTTCGTGAGCCATCTCCTGATCAACCTCATGTAGTTGATGCCACCAGTCGTTACCGTCCCCAAGCATCTAAATTGAAACAAACAATAGGTAGGACATCGCCAAAAGAGTGGGCAGCTTCATCCACTTCAAGTATATCAGTAAATTCAAATAATACATATACTTCTCCAACAACAACTAATGAAACTTCATCTGTATCTCGGGTACGTTTCAGCATTACAGAAGATCAAGAAGATATCAAAAGTACTGCAAATAAAGCAATAGGGACTAATGAACATGAAATTACACTTTTAGATATGCCATTAGATGGAGAATTGAAAGATGAAACTATTCCACTAACTGCAGTGACACGGTCTTTAAAATCTGACCAACCATCCGTTATTGAACTTGAAAAAGAATTTCTATCATAGTGACCATAAGACTAGGCTCTTCAACTTAAATTTATTAAAATAAATCCAATTTGTTGGCAAATCACTATTATTATTTGACTAGTGCAAACGTACAGTCGGATTATGCTCATCAGAATTACATTCCTTCACAGTTAATTCATAAAAGGGAACAAAAATTACCTACATTCCTTATTTTAAGGAATAATGCATTATTTCTTCCCTTGTGGTAACTAATACTTAAAAATTTATGAAGGCTGTATTGTTTTTACTTTTGAGTGATTTTGCTAGCAAATATTAATTATACAATTTAACATTCCATAACATTCCTGTTGGAATGATTACCAACTTTCTTTTTCTTCCCAAAGAGCTTTCCAAAAAGTTCATGTGATTTGAGTGAGATATTCAATGGAAAAAATTAACATTTAAAATATTAAGAACATGAATATCTGAAAATTTCAAACTAGCAGCATTGAGATTGATAATGGCAGAGAATGAATTAGATTCTGTGATGGTCTCTCTATACTTTTTAGCTTATAGTAAAAAAATCAAAAATTGTAACTCAAAATGATATAAATCATGAATTGTATAAAATTTGAAAATAAGATTAGATTGCATGATTGCTACTCTGAACCTATTATATATATTCAGAGTATCTTGAAAATTTAGGACAAACTTACACTATAGATTTGAAGATCAAATAAATATATTTTATTAAAACATTTCTCACCTCTCATATAAATACGTAGGGCTGAAGCACATTGATTAAAGACTTATGTACAGATTTTATGATATTAATTTGAAAAATAATTTTAAAATTTTATTAATTACTTTACAAATTAGTTATATTTGTAAGGATTCATATATGCTTTTTGTCAGCAAAAATCTTGTTTGAATATTTACTTATTCACACAATACAGTGGTACCTCAGGTTACGAACGCCCCAGCATACGAAATTTTCAGGATACGACATGAAATTCGAACATATTTTTGCTCCACGATACGAACAAAAACTCACCATACGACGTTACATTAGTTCGCATTTTTCATTTGTTTTTCTTACTACAGTTATTTTTTTAAATGTATTACTTGGCTTTAATTTGAGTACGTTTTTCGCGTTGAAACGAATTATTTGGTTTTACATGTAATCGTATGGGAAAAGATGATCCACCTTACGACATGTTCATGATACGATCTCAGTTTCGGAACGGATTAATTTCGTATCCTGAGGTACCACAATATATCAAAATTTTGTTAAAAACATGATGGCAATCAAACAGTTGTTAAGTACAACATTGTGTGCATTTTTTTGTTTTATATATTAAAATAGTATATAAATATAGTATCATATTATTAATTATCAAGATATTTTGAGCCCTATAAGATTTTGTTATCCATTTGATTTTCTGAATCCATTGTGTAAGTTTGTTCTTTTTGAGACACTCAATATATGATAACTGGAATATGCCAACAACATAAAATTTTGTAATCTGCATTTTTTTCAAATTTTATGATTAAAAAATAATGATACTCTTTTTATATTTTGTTCTTTGATGTTAATATACAAAAGAAAAATGTGAATCTCTGCAGCTTAATACAAAATAATGATGCTATGCATAACAGAATCATGAATAATTTTCTTCAGTAGTACTGAAATTTATTTCAATTGATCAGCTTTATTGTATCTAAAGTTAATTTCATATCTTTGTTTTCTAGTTACTGTGATTTTGACTTATGTCAGTAAATTTTGACAGCCAGCAGGGTTTATGTGTTTTGTCCTATTTATGTACTACATTCAAAACTTTGTAGTAAAATAATAATAATACAGTTGTAATTGATGGAACTGTTTGTCACAGATATGTCCAAGCTTGTACATAAATCTGATATATTTACCTGAAATAAATATTTGCAAATTCACAAACTGATCATAATGTTATGAGATTTACATTAATTAATATAAATATAAATTATAATAAAATTATTCAAATTGAGACTTTATTATTTAAATAAAGTTATCAGTTTTACAACTTAAAAGTTTAATATTGTAAAAAACAAATTTCTTTTTCAATGAATATTTCATTTGTATATAAAACACACAAATACTCTTGTCATAGTTTTACCAAAAGAAATTAATGTAAAATGCAATCAAAATATTAACTATAAGTATGTTTGATGATTTGGTTTCATAAAATAAATTTCCAGAAAAAAAATCTTAAAATGCATTATAAAATGTTGAATAAAGACATTTTTCAATATTAATATTCTTACATAATCTCAAAAAATCAATCTAAATTATTAAACTTTATTTAAAATAAATAAATAAATTTAGAATGATACAATTACACTCCTGGCCAAAAGCATGAAATAGTAGTATAGATTTCATGATATGAATAAAATGATCAAGTACTTAACTGTACTTTATTATAAAAATTACAGTATCAACAGTGTTTCTTATTATAAACACTGTTGATAATTGAACATTGTTATAAGACTGTTTTTACTTTTTTCAGTCTCAAAAGAAAATTTGGACCCAAATTAAATGTTAACACTGAGTTTAATTGCAGTTTCTCATCTACAATTTCTTGAAGTATAAAACAATATTAATATTTAGCAGTACAGTTATATGTACTGCTGAATATTAATATCAAGTTATATCAAGCAAATTATTATTTTTATGACTGTTCGTTTCTCTAACTTATAGTATTCCTCCTCTTTAATCTTCATTGTCACAGTATATCTCCAAGGTATTGTCTTCAGTGAAGAGATAACTGTTTGGTCCATGTATTATACAAGACTAGTTATAGTCTGTATTAATTCTGTTTTGTTTATTAGTGACTTCCTACTGATCTTTTGGCCAATGATTCTCCAGATATTTTTGATGGTGTTAATGTTTGGAGAGTTTCCAGGTTAAAATCAAGTTCAGAAAATGTGTTTCTGATCTATAAAATAGAAATTCCTGTTACTAAGCAATTTCAGAAGAGATATTTTCACTACTAAACATTACAATACTAACATTTCGTATAGCAGGGTCAAATCTTGTTGAAAATGCTAAGGCATGTCTTTAGAATGGTCTCTGCAGAACATAACTTCCTTCTGGAAGATTTGGTCATATTGATTAGCATATGTATTGCTAGTAACAAAAGACATTTGTCCATAACCACTTCCAAAAGTGTTTCTTTATATCATGACTGAATTTCTGTGCTTTGCAATGGGTACACTATTGAGGCTGATGTATTTACTTGCGTTACATTGTATCAGATATTGCTCATCATTGACTTCATTATGCAATGTATTATTTCTGTGTACTGATTTTTCCTACTAAGATAAAAATAAGAAATGAACCTCATTATTTTCCAAAGAATAGGATTTAAAATTTACCTTTTGAATAAAATATACCTTTCTTATAGCTGAAAACAATTTAAATATAAGAAAGACAAAATAATTTTGAAAATTCTTATTTTATATTAAATTTTTACTTATGAATTTATAAATATTTACATTAAAACATTTACAAATGAGTTGTCAATTGCTTTTATGCCTTGCAATAGAAAGAGATCATTATATTTTTGTTGTTTGTAAGAAGTTATTGCAATTTAAATGTTAAATTTGCCACTGAGTCTGTACTTTTGGCCAGGAGTGTATATAGTATATGGAATATATCACTTAAATTTGTCCATTATTAAAAATGAATATTTAAATGTTTTTTTTTAGTTAAATTTTTATTATTATACAACCCCAACAAAAAATCCTTGGACAGTACATTAAATGACCTGTTTGTAAATATGTAATTATGTTGACATGTGATATTTGTATTTTTTTCTGTATTATTATTAATGAGGTGTATTTGTTTAATGAAAATGGCACCTGTTTTTGCTGTAATCATTGTTAAAAGTAAAGCAATTCTCATCTTCTATAGAGAAGGCAAATAATTAACAGAAATTTCAAAATAATTAAAAATTGGGAAACCCACAGTATGAATCAAGAAACTGGTATAATTCATCCAAAAAATCAACTGGAAAACCGGCAACTATAACAAAGACTGATCACAAGTACTGTACCTTTGTGAAATAATTAAAAAAAGATTGTTCAGTAATTTAACAAGCGATGCACCTCAAAGTTACAAAAGAAACTTGTATCTATCAGCACAAACTTCGATACAACTTCTATCAGGTAAGAAAATATTATTATTTTTACTTAACAATTGTGATATGTGATCTATTTACATAGAGAAAGGCAAAAACCACTTCTCACAAAAACACACAAAAAAACCAATTGAAGTGGGCAAAAGAGCATCAATGTTGGACAAACAACAGTGGAAGCAGGTTGTTTTTAGTGATGAGACAATGTTTGAATGTTATTGGAGGCAATAGAAAAATCATCAGAAAATGAGAAGCATTTTTTATTCTGACTGTGTACAGCACATTATAAAATTTCCAACAAGCATTATAATGCAGGATTGCTTGTCGGCCCAAGGTGTGGGAAATTTTGCATTTCATTGAGGGATCAGTAAACACAGCAAAATACCAACAAATCCTTGAGGAAAATTTGCTATATCATTAGAAAAATTACAATATAATGAACATTTTATTTTCTAGTAGGATGATGCAAGTTGCCATACTGCTACAGTATCAAGGCTTAGCTGGCACAACATAATATTAACATATTAAAATGGCCATCAAGCAGTCCTGACTTTTCTCTTATAGAAAATGTGCTGTAGAATTAAAAAAGTATTGAGAAAAGTTCTCAAGGAAGCAAGGATAGTTTAAAGGGGAAAAAAGTCAAGAAAATTTGGGATAAAATCACTCCAAATGAGTGCCAGGCTCTTATTGATAAAATAAATGATCATACAAAGACTTATACAAATCAAAGGTGAAATAATTAAATATTAATGTACTGTTTGAAGTATTTTTTGTCAGAAATGGTTCTGTCCAAGCTTTTTTTGTTGCACATGCTTATTTCAACTGCTCATAACTTTTTTATGTATTGTCAACGTGAACATTTTTTAATATAAAAATCTTCAGTTATAATCAAAGTTTCCTAATATAAAATAATTATAAGCATGAAAAACGTTTCTGTTTGATATCATTGAAGAATAAGCTAGAGATTGATTAAAAGGAGTTAGTTTTTTGTTGGGGTTGTATAATCATATTTCATATGTTTACCATATTTAAAACAAAAAGTAGTTTCATTATTAGTATCTAAACAAATATTGATTTGCTATTATTAAAGATAATATGTATTTTCTGAAAAAGTTATAAANTTAATTATCAAGATATTTTGAGCCCTATAAGATTTTGTTATCCATTTGATTTTCTGAATCCATTGTGTAAGTTTGTTCTTTTTGAGACACTCAATATATGATAACTGGAATATGCCAACAACATAAAATTTTGTAATCTGCATTTTTTTCAAATTTTATGATTAAAAAATAATGATACTCTTTTTATATTTTGTTCTTTGATGTTAATATACAAAAGAAAAATGTGAATCTCTGCAGCTTAATACAAAATAATGATGCTATGCATAACAGAATCATGAATAATTTTCTTCAGTAGTACTGAAATTTATTTCAATTGATCAGCTTTATTGTATCTAAAGTTAATTTCATATCTTTGTTTTCTAGTTACTGTGATTTTGACTTATGTCAGTAAATTTTGACAGCCAGCAGGGTTTATGTGTTTTGTCCTATTTATGTACTACATTCAAAACTTTGTAGTAAAATAATAATAATACAGTTGTAATTGATGGAACTGTTTGTCACAGATATGTCCAAGCTTGTACATAAATCTGATATATTTACCTGAAATAAATATTTGCAAATTCACAAACTGATCATAATGTTATGAGATTTACATTAATTAATATAAATATAAATTATAATAAAATTATTCAAATTGAGACTTTATTATTTAAATAAAGTTATCAGTTTTACAACTTAAAAGTTTATTATTGTAAAAAACAAATTTCTTTTTCAATGAATATTTCATTTGTATATAAAACACACAAATACTC